ATCCTTGTGTCTTTTGTTCTTGTAATGATATATATATATATATATATATATATATATACCTTGTATTGCTTAGTACTGATGATACCTGAAGAAGACAGACCAATGTTCTGTCAAAACATGTAGTATGTTTCACCATCAATAAAACTGTTCCTAACATTTACAACTCATTGTTAACCTACCTATTATTATACTAGCATAAGGTTTTTCCTTATTCAGGTATCAATTTTATCAATGGGCCAAAAAGCAAATGTGTTTACTAAGCTCAGAATAAAGTATTGACAGAACCTAAAATATGGTTGAATGGGAAGTATGACTAGAAGTCTTATATTGGAGATTATTTTACATACTGTTGCCTGAGACACGTGGATGGTTTCAGGCAGACTTTTGTATTTGTGGATTTCCACATATTTAAGATTATTCTCTTTGTTTACTGTTGTTGGGATAAAACGTGTTACAGGTATCTTTCTGGTTGATCCTGCTGCTCCAAGTTGCTCCTTATTCCTTTTTTTTTCCCTAGGTGATAAAGTATAAGGATTCTAGATCCTTAATCTGAATACATATTTGTAATCAGAACGGATGAATATTTTGTGTCAGAAAGGGCTATTACATACCCTTCCTAAAGACACTAAATTTTCAGTGACATCACGGTACCTATGGAATGTAAAAACAATGTCCAAACATAGTTCCTTCCATTGCAAGTTTATTTCGGCTGTGGTTGTCACATAATTTGTTGATGTGTATATTCAAAATAGTTTTAACATAACATATTCAACCCTCTGTATAAGGAGTTAAATGAAAACATAATTGAAATGACATTCAATATTTTTAGAGTAAACTCTTGTTTTTATTTGTGTAACCATGAGCATTTCCATGATGGGGCAAGGTGGGCATTTGCACACATACCCCCAATAATTTTAGAAGGAAATTTATTTGAATAATTTATTAAAAAGACATATTAGAAAATACTACTATTTAAGTAAAAATGACTAAATTTGACGTGAATAAATAAGCAATAATCAGCCAGAACATCACATTCCAACTTTAAGGCAATGACTTGCATTCTGCAAAGGCTATAGTTTTACAGGGAGTTAGGCATGCCCCCACCTAAAATAAATTCTGCAGATTACCATGTGTGTAATGTTGAGTTACTACTCAAGATATATTTTCCATCCGAGGCAAATCTAAATCACTAATTCATGCATTCATTACTAGCATATATAACTGATAATACCACAGAATTTAAATACATTTTTATAAAGAAGTTTAACCTTAGGATGAGATTCTAAAATAAAATATGGACAAACTTATATGCTTACCTGATCTGGATAGGCATCTTCTAAAGTTTTGGCTTTGTAAAATATGGTCTCAAAAGCCTGTCGTAGTCTGGAATCTACATAATATACATTGCAAAACATAAAACCAATCTTTGTTTGACATAATACATAAATATCTAAGCAAAACATGGTATTATTTTACTAGTGTTTGAATAAGTACGACTTACACTGTAAAAAAATGGACAAAATTTACACATTAAAGTATTTGGACGAAATCTACACAACGTAATAATATGGAAGTTTAAAGAACCTGAATATGTGACAAAAAAAAATTTGTCTTTAAAGAAATGGTGAGTTAAATATTATTTGCATGAAAATTAAACTCAAAAAGTACAGTATTGTAAAATTTTCAAGTTCTGTTAATAGTTCCAAACAATTATACTTACTCTGAAATTTTATAGAGCTAATACACTCACAAGTCACAAGAGATTTTTACATGGATTCTAGTAAAACTAAAATTACATATTTAATCTTAAATATTAATCTAGTTGTCTTTAATCAATGTGTTTACATTTTTTTAATGTACATCCTGAATTTATTATTGAGTAATTGTGAAATTAATTCATTAATTTCCAAGGTACTTTGAGAAATACATTATATACATGCAAGAATGAAAAATAAGTGAAAAACTCACCTTGGGATGTGATAGTTGAATAAGGTGACGTTAGTGGTGACGGTTTAAGGATGGACTTCATTGGTGATTTAGGGCTCAGTGGTGGTGAAGATGCAGGTGAAATTTCTGGAGAGAGCTATTGGAAAAAAAAAGTTAGAAAACATACAATTTACAGGATGGTTTTTATTTATGCTTTACTTAGAAGAGCAGGAAAACCACAGCTACAACTGATAACATATCTAATAATCAAACATTTCAAGATATACATATCCCACTGTCAGCGATCTGCAATATATGAAGAATGATACCAAGTCATATATAACTGTGATATATTGTTTCCTACACATAGATCGAGATAATAGACAAAAATTAAAGAAAGAAAAGAGGATAAAAGTAACATAACAATAAATATTTCAAACAGGCACTTTAAACAAAAATTAAAATAGTGATAGTTGATATGAGCTGTGGTATTTTTAATTTTGGATGTTTACTGGATGGATATTAACAGACTTTCTTCTATAAACAATTCCTTGTTAAATGAACCAAATAACAAAATTCTGAAGTTGTTTATAGAGATGCCATGTTTGTATTCTCACCTGTGCTAGGTAAGCATTTTTTTTTTTAATTTCTGACTGGGAAATAACCAAGCATAAAAAAATAAATGAATAGATTTCTTTGTTGTTGTTTTTTTATCTCTGCATTGACATCGGTTTTCCACGCCCAAAAAAGTGAGTTTTAACTATTACCACAATTTCTCAAACTTATGCCATTTTTTCTCGCTGTTAATCATGTACTTAAAATGCATGTGCTCTGGGGGCAAGATTTTCACTATGGTGGGAGATAGAAAGGTGGTTTTGAGAGAAAATGACACACGACTAAGGTATTAAACATGCATTGACCTGAAATCATGGTTGACTCGTGGATATAGTTCGCTGTTGTTGATGATGCGTATGTAAAATGTTTAAGATTTCATTTTTGTCTTTTTATACTAAATATAGCAGGTGATCATAAACAATAGTTTATGACAAGTTTGGACACAATGTCTTCAGTAGTTTCCAAGGTGAGCATTTTGTATCGAACTTCCCAGAGACCACTTTAAATGTGGTGTACTAAATGGTCATTTACATGTACATATGTTCAATCTGTGATGAAAGAACACCTGTGACATTTAATTACTTCTGTTCACCTAAGTAGTATTTAAGTGGTAGGAGATTATGAAAGAAACTGACTATATCATCAAGTCTTAGAATCCAAACAGTTAAAGACTCATGGAACTTCAAAGACTAAGTTTTCTTGTCTTTAGCCTTATGTTTTACAGAGTAAAATTCACCTTATCATTTCATCACATAGGTGTCACAATAAATGTCCAACCGGTATGCTGGTACTTCTCTAACATGGACATACTGCAAGAGAATAGAGGAATTGAGAAGAACTCATGCAATAGTCAGACCTATATGCAACACATGCTTCACTTCTGGCAACAACCCAAAGATCCACCATCCACACAAAGTCACTAGCAATAGTCATACCTATATGCAACACATGCTTCACTTCTGGCAACAACCCAAAGATCCACCATCCACA